GAAGACGACTGGATCAAGGTAATATCCTTAATTTTAGGAAAAGAGATCGCAGGGGGACGAAAAAGGAACAGTCAAAAGCAAAGAGAAGACATCTTCAATAAGCCTAATCAAAAGTAGAACTTCTACAACTGTGGGTTGGCACACAAGATACTAAGACATAGGAAGTGATAGACATGATATTAAAGATATAAACAGGAAAGACGCGGTGTAGACTAGAGCTATTTGGCTAACAATAAACGTGTTTGATGATAGACGTGATCACTGAATAACAACTATTGTTAGCCAACTAGCTCTAGATTCTACTGCTTTCATCCTCTTTCTGTCTATAATACCAAGTTATATGACTTCCTATGCCCTAGTCTCTTGTGTGCCAGCCTACAAACGTGGTTCAACATTAAACCTAATCAAAGCAAGCAGTACCACAACAGTTGTCGGTTAGCACACAAGAGACTAAGGCATATCAAGTCATAGATTTGATATTACGAAAAGAAGCAGGATAAATGCGGCGGAGACTGGATCTAGTTGGCTGACAGTAGGTTTTACCAGAGACGTGGTTCAAGTAGCAATGGCTTGACCATGAGACTTACTCAGAGGCTTTAGCCTCGAATTAGTCACTTAGACGCAGGAGAGGGGTAATCACGCATCGAGTAGCACAGATGGGGTCGAGTGAAATACTTGAACCATGGAGATATCAGATGGATTCTACAGGGCAAGATGGAGACTGTGATACGACCTATGGAAGGACTGCGTAACAATATGGCATACTCTGATCAATATTCCCAGCACAAGGGTGAACGGGGGATGAGAACGCCAGCGTGGAGTGTGAAGGGTTCTCATGAATGCCGCTCAAAAGAGCACACCACACTACATCTAAATAGGCACGGTAAAAATTGTGAAGTGAAGGCGTGATACAAGGATATAGGAATTGTGAATAGCCTAGGGCAAAAGGAGAGATGCATTGTTTAAGATTTAAATTAGTCTAGTTAGATATTTTGATTTGAAAGTTCTTTAAGAAACCTAGTACATTAATACAGATAGGGATCTAATGCCAATACTAAATTAATGAATATCTAAATGTAGAATGGCATATAAAAAGAGTGTCCTCAGCATCGTTGGATTCTGTACCAAATACTGAGTGTGTTAAACAAAACAAAAAAATGGTGGAAATCTTGATGAAGGAATTATTCCGAAAAGTTAATAGGCGGAAACCATTCGTGCTAAATATTCAAGGTCATTTAGACAAATCAGTTAAGAGTAAGGGTCAAGGTGCATAAAAATCAATAAGCTTAAATGTCTAGAGAGCGTTAAGCAATTTCAATTTACCTGCATTGCTTGAAGTTGATGCGTAAGATCGTTTAACTCAGTCCTAAGACGATTGATACTTTGCACATGAAGCATGTTAGCACCATCGAGTATTTGCGACAAAAGAAGTCTTAAATTTGGCCAATTAAATCCAGCTAGATTCGTCCCAGGCATAGAGGGTACTTGAATAAAGGCTGATCCGTATCCACTCGTGGAAGTATTACAAGTTCCAGAAGCCCAAGCCATAGCAGAGGACTCAAGTGATCCAGAGGCAAGCCGACTAGTGTAAAATGCATCAGTTGATGAAGCCAAAGGAGAACATGTAGCTACTGGTGCGATAGTAGCTGAGGCTATGTTGCTTCCACTGCTATGTCCACTACTGCTATATGACGATCCAAAGACGGCTGAATAAGCAGAAGGCGGCTGTAATTGTGGTTGCATCTGGCCAGAGGGTGGCGGAGGATGCAACAGAGATGAGAGATGCAAGTGATTAAGAGGCCGTACATGACCACTTTGTAACGATGTGGGAATGCCTGGTGAAGGGGAACAGGAGAGGGGCAATTGTCCAACTGAGGGGGCGGGTGAAACTGGACTGGCAGAGGCGATCGCCATTGATGCAGCCGTGGTAGTAAAACTAGCTGAAGAGGGCGGCCTCATAAGTCCTACTGCAGGAAACGGATATACAAGACTATAAACTTCAGGGAAGGCACACTGCATCAACTGATGCAAATTTTGCGGTTCGCTACTCAGATCCTGAGCTCCAGAGTCGTAGTCAGCACCTACGAATAAAAAGATAATAGGAAGCCCGATTAAAAATGACAATGAATCAGCAGTAAGGCGAGAACTAAAAGGCAATCGGGGAGCTAAATGAAGGCGCATGATTCC